CGACTGCCTTATTGTGTGTTCTACGGCGGAGGAAATGGACGCGTGCTTCAGCTTGCTGAACAACCAGGCACCAAATATCCGATTCACCCGTGAGAAGCCAGTGAACACCTGGCTTCCTTTCCTCAACATACAGATTCAACTTGAGCGGGGGTGGTATCGGACGAAGTGGTACCGCAAGCCGAGCAACAAGAACATCTTGGTCCATTTCCGGTCGGCGCACCCAGTGAGGACAAAACAGGCCATCACCAGGAACATGTTCAGGACGGCGAAAGTGGTCTCCTCGGGTGATCAGGAGAAAGCGGAGTCTCTGGAGCTTGCGCGGAAGATAGCTATCTCCAACGGTTACCCTCCGAAAGATGGACCTCTTCCTGGACCACCCAGCAGGCGAGGAGATAGGGGTGCGAACGAGGATTCCGAGAAGGTGCCGTTTTACTTGCCCTTCGTCAGTGATGGGATCAGCTTCGCCGTAAGAATGGCCCTACGCAGGTCCAGCCTTGACTCAATGGTTCGGGTGGTCGAGATCCCTCCCGCGTCCCTCAAGCAGCAGTTGGTCCGCAATCGCTGGTACGACCGGTATTGCCTTACCCCCCATTGTGTTGTCTGCCCACATGGGAAGCAGGGTGACTGCATGGCATCAGGTGTGATCTACCTGATCTCATGCACCCTCTGTGGGGACGAATACATCGGCGAAACCGGGCGACCACTCTGCTCCAGGGTTAAGGAACATCTGGATGGGATGAAGAAATCGAGACCTCAGACCCCCCTAGGTGGACACAGGGTGTACGGGCACGGAGGGGCGGAGTTCCAAGTCTCTGTCAGGATCTTGTCGCGAGAGCCTCGCACTTCAGACCGGAAAACTTTGGAGGCCTTCTGGATACGCGCCAAAGACCCCAAGTTGAACAGGAAAGATGAATGCCTAGCCATAACGAGTGAGCTCGCCCCCTTCGCTGACCTGTGTGGGCTTCAATTGCCATCGGCTTCGGGTCGAGGGGTCGGGTCAGCTGAAGCCGTGCACAGTGAGTCAGTTTAGCGGTGGTCGAAACTCGAGCTAGCCGTGCGTTCCTAAGGTTAGTTGCTTTGTGCTGTGAGGTACGAGACCTCCCTAGACGCCTTTAATCTACGGTGAGCTGTACAAATGGCATTCGACAGTAGGT